ATTTCAACATAAAAAAACAGCAGAAATTAAATGATTCGATTTCTAAAACTAAAAATGAATTCATTACATTAAGTGCTTAGTTACGTTACTGTTATAATTTCAACATAAAAAAACAGTAGTGATTAAATGATTCGATTTCTACAACTAAAAATGAATTTGTTACATAAGTGCTTAGTTCCTAAAACATTTTCACTTCACATAACAAAAATATGCCACTAATTAAAAACAGCTAACAACCTTGAAGAATCTTGCTCCTTATAGAAAATGTGATAAGCTAAAACAGCACCATGGTGCTGCACAGGAGGATCCCAAGTCAGAACCACAAAACGACTCCCAACAACACTTGCACGAACACCTAGCGGTTCTGATGGTAATTTCGGCTGTCCACTTGAAGCAGCCATTGAAAATGAATCTAAAATTAGGTCCGTCAAAACACGATGCATTTTACATGTAAATGAGGCTGTAACAAATGAGTCCTGACAAAATGAAAAGTTATAGTGGAGAATTTCAGGCACAAGTGGCCAAGTTTTAGCACAATTTCAACATTACGTCTGATTTCCTAGCGACTTACATCAAACAAAGCATCAAATGAATACTCTGAGCTTATGGTTAAGTGCTATTTAATCGTGCATGGCAAAAAGTAAAGCATTTGGAAGTTAACATACGACTATCGGTTATTGGATAAATTCCAGAAAGATATCTGTCATGCTCTGAATTGGACAAAAATTACATTCCCATAAAAATTCGGAACCATTCAAATAAAATTTTTTTTAATGGATAGTAAACAGCAACAAGCTAATTATAAGGCAATCGCATACATACTCATGCACACTCCTCTCACCCGTATTATTAACATTCACAATTTGTTCCGAAATAGATGTCGTCTCATTCATTGTGCGGAATTTTAGGGCATAAAGCTGCAGTAGCTCCTCTACAAATTAATACTATTATTGCTAAAATTCTAAGAAATATTAGATATAATCGAACATAAGACAACTCAGAAAGATGGATTAAAAACATGTTAAGTAGGTCGAAAGACCGAAATATTGAAAACTGAAGACTGCTTGCAGAGTCAGAAACCGTATCACATGCGCAAATTTTAAAATTTGAAAAAAAAGAGACTTTTTACTGGGCTTTACGGAGTAGTCCATATGTAAAGACAATGTATATTTATTCTACAATTTAAAAAAAGATATTTGAGAAGTCTAAGGCGTAAATACAGTCATGCACTATTACCAACGTGGATTTCAAAAAATTAATTAAACACTGTAAAGATTACCAGAGCTATCAACAATTAACTGGGCATTGGACTGCACAGATCCAGCGTCGTTTTCAGCAATGCACTGATATACACCCTGGTCGTTTCGTACCAAACCCAGCACCCGTAAGCGGGTTGCTTCTATCTGTTGAAGATAAAATTAGAACTACTGAAACTGATTTTATACAAGTATAACTGTTTCAACTCTGATTTATTTCGCTGATTTCATATAAAGTAATAATGTTAATAGCCTTCTCATTACCGAAAAAAATTAGCAGCTTGCAAGTTTAGAGAATTTCTACCAACTCAATTTAAAAAAACTTGACATTATTATAAATCCTCTATTAATAGATAAAAAAATTTATTGAATATTACATCCCTCGTTTATTTATAGAAGACAAAATTAATAATTTTTACCACAAAATATTCACTCGCGATGATTGTTTCGCCATTTTTATACCAACTAATAGCCGGACCGGGTTCTCCCGAAGCTTCGCAATTGAACTACAAATGAGTTAAGTGAATTAAAATGGTATTGGGAGTTTACAATTTTTTCAGCAGCTTTTAAATCCTTCCGCATTTTCCAAAAAGTTCAAAGCCTTTTAAATAAAGATAAAAAAGAACCTCCACATCCGTCGTTTCTTGTGCCACAACGTCGTTTGGCTCGGATATGATTTTCGGTGCTACTGCAAAACAAAAAAACAGAAAACATCCACAACCATTGTCAACAATTTTGTATTAACTAAATTTAATAAGCAGAAAAGTTAGGTGCCTAAATCAGAACATTCACCATAATGATAGCTTAAGAAAGTTTTTTTTTCTATGTTACGCAAGAACGAGAGAACAGGATGAAAAGACATCAGGAAGAGGGGTGAAGCGTACTAAATTTCGTAATCATAAAGCAGAATATGGTTAGGACTGTTTTGAGAATTGCAGAAAAAATGAGCTGTTGTTCTTTCTGATCTCTTATTTTAGCTCGAAAAAAGACGTAACAAAATGATCATTAAACGAAAATAATCTTACAAAAAATGAAAATTGTTCTAGCTTCAGGTTTCGTACTCTAGTCCGAGTAATTTCAAAGTTCATGCTTAGAAGTGAGAGCCAATAAAACGTAAACTTCTGTTTCTCAAATTTTTTAATATTCATTAGAGAGATAATAGTATATACCTTTAACTTGTATAGTAGCTGATGCATCTAATGATTCTTGACTATTACTTGCTCTACAAGTATAAACACCTGCGTCCTGTGCTTTCGCTTTCAGAATTATAAACGAGGATGAACCTAACTGACGCATCTGAAAGATCCGTAAAAACTAATATGTTCAGGGAGTAAAAGATACAGTTTTCACCATATTTCATGAAAGAAGCCAAATATATCCAGAACTACGAAAGCAATAATACTTACTCCGTCTCCAGTTATCGATATAGTCTCGGCACCTTTCAACCATCGTACATCTGGTCGTGGCCATCCATTTACCAGACATTCTAATACCACTGATTCGCCTTCTTTCACTACGTCACCTCGCGGTTCCAGAATAAAATATGGTTCCGAAAACTCATTGTCAACTATAAAATTAATTCTTGGAATTTCTTAAAGATTTTGTATGTATCATCAACAGATTATGGTTTTGGAAGAAAGATTATGTTCTTCAACACCTATACATGTCTTAACAAAAAGCAATTAAAACAACTCAGCTGTAATATAAGCACAGTTAAGCTAAAAGTATATCTCATAGAAGTACCATATCATATGTGTTAGTGCGTATCATATGCGCATCAATACCATATCATATGTGTTAGTGCGATGACTAGTAGGATCTAAGTTATGAAATTTACTCGACTACAAAATTAAATCACGTAAATTACCACTGTTTTCAGGTTTTATCGTAAGTTGAGCATCACGGCTGGAACGAGTTTTCCCCTCATTCGTTGCAACACAACGATAAGCACCCTCATGCTTGGGTAAGACACTACTTATTTCAAGCGTTGAAGTAATCGGAAATATTGTTATGGAACTATCATCTCCTGTAATAAAAAATCTCAACATTAACTTCGTCTTTCAAGAAACAAATATCGATTTAGCGAGAAATCTTCTCATTCTAAACGAAGTTATGGATTCAATCGCAAGTCCTCTTTTATAACAAGCTAAAAATCCTACCAGAAAGATCGAAACGTAAGTAACATCAAAGAATATTTTATCGTCCTTTACTGATTTCACAAGCCCCTTTAATTTTCAAATAAGACATTAAATTCGTATGCACGAAAGTAATTTCAATTTTCACATGTTACAACTTGAATTATGAAGAAATTGAATTCTTCCTATCAACCACTCATAAATCTCCAAGTAATCCAATAAGACCAATTAAGTTCTATATTCATTTTACCAGAAAAATTTTTTTGCAAAAGAAAGCCGAAGAAAAATTGGAAAGAAAAAACTGACGGTCACTAATTCGCTTCCCATTGAAAAACCATTCGATGTGAGCTGAAGGTTGAGAATCCTGCAACCAATTATTACTCATTTATCCAGCATAACTTAAATCTGTTCTGACGCTGACTTCAAACCATCCTGAGTTAATCCTCAATGCATGGAAACATTATTTTAAAAAATTTCAAAACTTCAAACATCAAAAGCAGCAAAATGAAAAACGGAAGAAAATTTGCTACCAGCATGCAAGCAAACGCAACATTTTGTCCGGTATGCACTTCACGATCTTCTGGTTGTATTTCGAACCTGCAATTACTAAATTGATTATAAAATCTAAAAACACACATTACAGGGAAAATTTTGCTTGTTACCTACTCCACGAGAATATTCGAGTACAAATTATTGGTGATTTTTTTTTTAAAGCACAGACCTGCTAAGAAAAGGCAACCGAACAGTTGCTCGTCGCGAAAGATACGTCCAAACAAAACTTTTTTTGTCTGTTACATGAACTGCGCATTGATATAAGCCTTCATCGGTGGATCCAACATTTTCAATAATTAATGAACCGGAAGATGCCACAAACCTTAATGAATTATTGTTACTAATAAAGAAATAGAAATTAAATAAACAATGATTATAGATAACAATGAAACAATTATTACAGATAACATTCATAATTATTATATATTTTAAGAAAAAATGGGCTTCCTCACTTAGTTCAAGCCGATGTAAAATAAGAAATCGATAAAGATAGAGAGCTTCAAATAATCAGATATGTCAGATACGTCACTTGATCACAAAGTTAACATCCTGCCATCTTTGACTCTCATTCAAAAAAGGTTTCAGGAGGAAACAAATTAACTATAATAAATAATAATGCCCGGTGAATGAAAGGAAGAAATTTCAAATCTGCTGGGACGACCAGAAATTACCCGTTTCCCATCCCCTGAATAATTTTGAGGGAAAAATCTTTGATTTAATGTCCATTTTTAAATGGCTTTTCATCTGAGTTTTTTTACAAGAAAATCTGACCTTTCGATACTTTGACACATTCTACTACTTGAATTTTATTCTTTTTGATGAACAGATGTGATAGTAGCAAATGACAGAAACATGTTCTCTCTGAAATCCTCTCTCTGCACAATTAATATCTTTATGAGAATACTGCCATCTTATACTTTGTTTAGGTATGAAGATGTTCTATTTTACGTGAAACATTTCACCAAATTGCAACTGTTGCAGAATAATCGCTTAGTTTTAAACGAAATTCATCATTTCCTTCCAACAGTTTCCTGCATTTCAATACTTTTAATACGATGAACTGAACTGGCAAACCACAACACGTCATGTAAAACTATTTCCCATATCAATCAACCCGAGACGTTCCATAATGTACTGAGTTACCACTACTGAATTTAGTATAAGCTTCAGCATTTTTAGCGAATTATAGAATTCTTATTTATGTCTGCACAGGGAAAAATTAATGACATTTATGGTGAGATTACTTATTCTACTTCTGTGTCTGATTGCTTCCGTTTTCTGGTTGAGATTGCAAGCTTTAATAGTGGTCTACTAGTGAATCTAATGCAAATATAGCAAGGACATTTGAACAATGAATGTGAGGTATCGAGAAGCACATTATCATTGATGAGCATCGTAACATAACAAACTGGTGGACAGAGATGGGAAAAAAGAGGGCATTCCCATGAAATGTCACCTTTTTAAAAGATATTTTCTAAAGATAACCCAACTAAGATTTGAGTTTAGATATGTTTACATTGTAAATATAACAACACATATACGACTACAACCATATTTGCAATATTCCACAGGAATTAACTTGGAATCATGAAACTATGCATTCTAAAGGTTATGATGAGAATTTTTGGTTATTTGCTCTCGACTTTGTTCCACACACTCAACATACATCTCCAGTTTACCAAGGAAAATTGGTTAGTATGATTGCATAACAAGAGCAACATAATGCTTTTCTAAATACATGTGTTATTGAGTTAATTCTTCTATAATTATATTTACATTCAATTTATCTTGCCAAAATTCTATTCGTGTTTTGCATCAAATAGTGAACAACTCGCATGACTCATATGCACTACAGTAATAGAATGATCCCACTGTAAGAATCTAACCATTTTATAGTAACTATTTAAAAGGCCAGAATAAGAATTAACACCTAGCTATACAGATGATATAAAATGATAGAATTCACTGGGAAGCTTTTCCATTCCATTCAGACGACAATCTTGGAGACTTACTGATCAGGTTCTAATGCTAATCAACAATCAAAATCAGGGACTTATTATAATTTCACATATTATATAAAGTAACATGGATGTACGACTTGTCGCAGATCTGCATTTTGAAAAGGTTTGCAAAAATTTTTGAATCCCTTTTCTCCTTATAATGTTCACCATTTCCTGCTTACGTTTCATCTCATTCTTCCGTTGAAAAAAAATTATGACTACTGTTTTTCAATTTTTTTAAAGAAAAAACAGTTAGAAATTTATTCCATCCCACTATCCATCACAGAAGGGAGTATAATAAAATTCGGACGGAACATAAATAAGACATTTAAAGGTCGCAGTGAAGGAAGATTGCTTTAAATAGTTTAAACTTAATGAGAATAACTTTCTGCGAACTCTTTTCAGCTTACTTTTTATTATTTTTAGGATGTAGAACGGATAAACACTAAGAGAATCGTTGCCGTATCTCGAGGAAGGAAGAGCAGAAATGGAATTTTCCTACAAAATGAAAATTTTTTTGTAGAAATAAATATATTTAATGACTTGTCTATCCAATGTTTAGATAGACTAATGCTTTTCGTTGTAAAAGGAATACAATTTCCAGAGTGATTGAATTGTTCTGGCTCATGTCCCTGGTATACGATGCCAGAAAGCTTAATTTATTGCGAAAACCATTTCAGTCATCGTCTTCAACAACAGCAGTCTCGAAGCCTTCAAGCTTCCACATCCTTGACCAGCCCCTCTCTGCCAATCGTTGGCACCGGATGCCCACACTGAAGATAATTCCTCAAGTTAGATGACATAAATTAGACAACAGACCAGACTAACTACTCAAGAAATGTCCATTTCAAGCTACTTTATCCATTCATCATGAATCCCCAGCGACTTAGTAATGTGCGTCTCTTTGATCCTAACCCATACAATATCCTAGCAAATTTCCATATAAACTTCTTGCCGTCATATTTTGATTACTCATCCGGAAGAGCCCTTATGATGCAGAAAAAATTTACCGACCACTGAATAAAAATTTTGCCTAGGAAAAGAACTATTTGAAAATTAAAAAATTTTGGAAGGGTTAGAGGATTTTAAATTTGAATCGAACAATAAATTTTCAAATCCAACTATTCCGTCTAAAATTCCATCAGTAGAAAAAAACCGAATTTGTTGAATAGATCTTTTAAACAAAGAAATGATAATTCGAACAAATTTTCGGAAGGAAGCAACACGAATTAAAAAATCACCCAGGACTGTCACTTTTGACACTATAAGTCTTAAGATATTTATCTTAGAAATCACTACTATTCCTCTTTTATAATCTCTTTTTATACATCCTTCCCTTTCAACTCTCTACTGTTGGATAGCATCTCCATTTTTTTCTTTTTTTTTTTCAAATCAATCTTCCAAGATAAGAATTAAATATCAGAATTAATCTTCCAGGGTAAGAATTAAACATCATTTAATATAAGAAATAAAGGAAAGGAATTCCGTAGATAAGGAATGATTTATATTACTATGTCGAGGGAAAAGCATTCGCGAGCAAGTTTCAGAAAGCAAAATTACAACTCTCACTGGAGGATGCAATAACGCGAAATGGTACCAAACAATAAATAATAAACGCGTTGTTACGATCAAACAAAATGTTAAATATAAGATTAATCACGTTTTTGTCACTATTTCCTAGCAAAATGGAATATTGTAGACGTCCATCTTAAAAGCTTAAAATTTATCCATCAATTCATTCAATGCCTCCTAGATTCTGGATGCAAGGATCACTTCTGATGATTCCAAAATAATAAACCGTAACATACAAATATAATGGGCATCTACTCCTGCTAACAGATAGAAATTCATTTTCAAAAAAAAATTGTCTCTCTTTACTAACAATTTTCCTGTTCCTGTGGAATTTTATGAAATCTAAAAAAAAAACATACAACAGAAAATTACTAATAAGTAGTAATAGTAATAACGAACCTATAATCTAAGTTGGACAAACCTCACTCGTAAATTAGTTTTCTACAAGCATATGAACTATCATTCAATGCAACTTACACTTTTCCCGCAGATCGTAATGAACCCAACTCTGCACCATCTTTTCGCCATTCAATGCGAGACGAAAGATTTTTTATTGATACAGCATATCGGCAATTCAACTCTACCCGTCCAGCCTTTGCTATCGTATTTGTAGGCTCCTCAGTGAAATGAAATCCAAGAAAACGGTCGTCTGAAAAAAATTTTAAATCGGCAAATTCATATTTCCCATAAAAAAATCAAAATTCCAGCAATTTCAATAATATTTCTGAAAGTCCTTTGCAGTTGCTGATCATATATTTGAGTCCAAGTATTATCTGTTATATTGTAGAACAATGGTTTACGAGACTTATCCTCCAAACATAGGATTTTATTAGTTTTGTATAAAAACTGTTCAAAACTGGCACTTTGGTCCAACTTTTCGCCGGCTCCATGAGGTCATATAACTTTCAAAAACCCATCTTATAGTTAGAAATGAACGCAATAAACAGCTGCAAAATTACTGCCACATACAAACAATGCACCAAAGCCCAGTTTGTTTGAAATCTCTCAAAAATTTTAGACACATCAAAAAACCAAAATAATTAAATTTAACGAGCATGTAAAACTACATTATTATATGGCTCTGATCGTTTTAATTAATGTACGATCGCTGAAGACGATAATATGCCCAGCACTGGTTATTTTCAAGTACCCTTATCGTAACAGATGTTGTACAGATGTGCCTTCAACATTTAATTACATGCTTCGTAATGCTGTCCAATACTTGTTTTATAACAAAAAAAGAACTCTATGTTTAAATTTAAAGTATTATTAAAATCAAAAACAAAAAAGAGATGCCTTAGCTCTTAGTTGTGGAATATCGATGACAAACTGTGTTCTTTTTCTATCAGGTAACAAGTAAAACACCTTCCAGCTGTTAGTGATAATTACTGCTTATTTAACATTCCATTGTCATATAACAATTTCTGATTAACTGACTTCATCTACAACAACGTTTACCCTGGAATAGTCAAACAGCAGTCATAACACACTATTCTCTATCCTCTCTTATATTCCTCACAACCCTTCCATCTGCTATTGGTCAGAAACATAATTATCTAGTGCTTTTAGCATTCTGAAAATCTGCGTAATATACAATATCAACAGTAAACAGACAAGCTAATACACTTAAATTTATGATACTAATACCTCCACTTTAATGTCAGCAACCATTTTTATTGCACAATATTCAGAAAACCCAAGAAAGTGCGATTAAGCTTAGTCCATTACAAAAATGATGATGACGTCATGTCCAACAGACATAAAGATCATTTAATGAAAAGATGGAATTGATCATGGAAGAAATCTATCAAAAATTCTACATAGGCCTACTTCGCCACAACACGTTTTCTCACTCAACTTAAATCAACAAGATGCAAAATACTGCCCTCCAAACGACATAATATACCTATGGAAATCTGTTATTCATAAAATTCAGTTCGTATTTCACTGAAAAGACCTCAACTAAAACAAAAGAAATGAGTTTTCTAAGGTTAAGAATAGGAAAGATTTGACTAGAAAAAAAACTCGGATCTGCCTGCCCTACCATACTAATAAACTGATCGCAACAACGGTCTTTCATCACTTTTTATAACGGCCCCCAGTTCTGCCTTTTCACATTCGTTGAAACGTTGTCGTCGTAAAAGATCACCTTGAAAAGGAAGTCGTTGCATACAGACCATAATTTTTTAAGAGGCACGTATGTAGCCCATGATTTATGCTAATTCCCTCCTCTTACAACCTATTTCAACCAAAAAATGTAACATGCTTGTCAAAAATCTCTTATTTGCTCTGCAACCTGCAACCGCTCTTTCCAGTACTACATTTGAGTTCTATGCTATATATGTTTATATAGCCGCTGTTTCCAATTTTAAGTTTGAAGCGTGCACTCTACAAAACATTTTATTCCTCTTCTTTTCTACCATTTCAACATAATGGATTCTCAAACATATCAATTTGTACGAGTGATCTCTTTTGACCATTTCCATCATTTAATGTCACTTCAGTAATATGTCCAGCAAAGGCGTAATTAAAACAATCGCGGAAATTGGCTTAAAAATGAATGGTGAAAATTACTTCAAGGACCTTCATGATCTTAGAAGAAAACGAATTGTTAGATTCTAAGGGCGAAAACATCGAACAAAATATTTGCACGACTAATGTTTTTTGTTGTAATAATGTACTTCATGATCAAAGAAAAGACTTTCCGTTCTCTTCCCTCCTCCAATCTTCTCTTGTTTTTGCATTTACTCATCCGAGATAGAAAATACTTCATCGGCTTTTAGGTCTCAGCTAGACCTGTGATACCGCGGATCAACTCAAAATAACTGCTATAAAGTGAAAATAAGTTTTACACGATAATATGCAATAATGCTCTTTCGCGGTTGAAAAATATATCAACCTAATGCCAAGTTCTAAAGGAGCTCTCCGGTGAAACTCCTAAAGTGAAGTCTCACTTTAGTTTATCTACAAAGATTTATGTAACGAGAATAACTGATGATACTAATCCTTAATGAAGAGTGTTCTTCCCTTCTCTTTTTAGAAAAATTTTTCAAGAAATGAATTTTTTTTAAAAAAAAAAAGGAATTGAATATTTATGATGGAAACAAAATTTACTTTTAATTTCTTTTATAATAATTTTATAAAGTATTTTTCCCAATATTTACCCATAGTCACATTTGTAACCATTTAACAACATGGACGTTCATTTGAGAGAGAAAAGATATCTTCACCAGCTAAAAAATAATTTTGGTAGTCGACTGTTTATGAAAGACGAGTAGATTGGTTTTCTTTTTTTTTGCACACAATTATGTGAAGAAATGAAAGTTATAAAAGAGAAGCTCGATAACACTAACTGGATTCTTGTCATAGGAACTGTCTGTCTCAAAATTGAGAATTGATAGGAAGACAAAGAACTCAGCCTAAAAAATACTCATAATTTTGAAGAAATAACTTTGCATTTGTAAATTGTCGATGATGCTCGAATTCAATCAAAAAAGTTCTCTAAATCGCGAAAAAATTTGTCCCAGCTTCATTTAACACTTGACGGAAGACACGCTGCTATTAATGTGAGCCAATATGTATTTTTAAAACCCGGAACTATTTCTGCCAAAACTATCAGTAAGCTTTGAAGTTAGATATATATAAAATATTCCCAAGACTTGAAATTGCCCAGTATCTATGATCCTAATAAACTCACTGAATATTTTATATGTGTGTAGCAAGGTGACCTTGACGGTACCATGATGCACCATTTCACCGCTTTATAATTTCACTCTATAAACGAGTACATGGATTGGTCAAACTCGCTCCCATCGTTCCGGCAATGTTGTGTTGAAGAGTGATTTTGAATTACAGATGAGGACGATCATTTACGAATGCGTAATAACAACTAAACAACAGTAAACTTCGACCACTCTTTGATCAGAGATCTTTTTCGAAACGTCCAGATGTGATGTATTAGCATTTTATAGGCGTTATTATCTAACACACAGGAGCAGGATAAAGTTCCAGTAGCAGTATCAAAAATATATATATATATTAGCGAAGTATTTGAGAAATTTAAATCTTTTGTCGGCGTAATAAACTAAGTGAAATGAAATTACAACGAACTTTTCGTTTGTTATCTGGATGTCTAAATAACCCTTTATGGCCATATGTAAATAGTTTAGTAAAGACTTCAAAAGAATATATCTACATATATTAGTTCTCTCTTACTATTTAAAAAATCCAACATGCTTTTTCAGATTTCCCAACGGAACTTCATACTTGCATGATTTTGTACAAAAGCTCGATAATAGGAAGTGATTATTAATACATTCTAAGCAAAAATTAATTTGTGACAAGACCTTTATCGAAACATCCTTTATGTTCTTCCTCAGTCTGGGCCTATGTAAAGTAACTGAATGAAAAGAATAGGCCAAAACAACTGGACAATAATAAAATGGTGCACGCTGGATTATTTAGTTTATTCGGCCTATTCTTTAATCATTTTGATGTATTACAATCATATAAAAGCTATAGTTGGTTATCTCTTTTTTTTCTTTTACTTATTGCCTATGTCATTATTCTCATTCAGTCCTTCTGCACTTCATTTCATTGCACGTTCCTGCATTGCTTTCCTATTAATGCAGGTATCTTTTGCGCTTATTACATGAAATTTGAATATGACGCTAAATTATATCTGAAGCCAAAAATCTATATAAAATTTAAAACTGATATAAATCGGAAGGACGTTTCATTGTCATGATGACTCAAAAGTTCACAAAATTTTTGTAGTCACTATTTCTAGAACAAACCATCCTATCTATCCGATGAATGAGTGACTGTTTATCTTCTTTCCTTTTTTTCTTCTTACTGCAGGTGTATAGGAATTGATTTCTATCGATGCATTAGGTCGGTGTGGTTGTTGACAACAAAAAGAGCAGATGGTTTCAAATGATAGCTAACCATGAATTATGTGACCAAAAATGTTCAGGGATCTTATTTTTTTTCAGTTCATTTCTTTTTCCTTTCTCTCTGGATCTTCCTACCAGATATGTTTTGATTTCCATAATTCTTTACTCTTTATTCTACTAAATATTATCTCCAAATAAATTTTTGCGATATGCTAATAAATCTGAAAAGCAATGTATGACAGAAAAGATTTAAAAAAGTATGTCGCATGAATTCGGAAGAATGCGTGCAAAATAAAAATGAGGAAAATAAATAAGGATTAGTTTAAAAACTTTCTAGATTACCAACAAAAAAATTTCAAAATTTAAATTAAGGAACAGATCCCATTAAATTGCTTTGTCCTTAATTTCACTAATTGGATAAAGCAATGAATCTTTCCTTTAACTTCGGTCCGAATAATCCTAAAATTTTAATTGACGATTTAAACATAACCAAGATTTCGATAATAATAAAGATAGTGCAGGATAATTTTTGATGGCGAAGAAACAATCTGATTTAGCAGAAAACACTGTTCACCTGTATTTCAGAACTGCTAAGGTCTGAGAAATTTAGATGATTGAAGTTACGAACTTTTTCAAGTAGATCTAAGGAAATACGCCTCTGGCATCTCAAAATACATCTCTTTAAGAAAATACGTCTACATGACTACGTCTCCAGTAACCTTAGAAGAGATTTCATAAAGAAAAGAATATAAACATATTAAGTGTATAAGAGAAGCCAAAAACTCAGATTAACGTAATTCTATTACTTTATCTAATCAAAGCAAAACTCCAATATATAATGCGGAAAAACCCCATAAAAATTTCAATCTAAGTTTAAATTAAAACAAATCTGAATATGAAAAGCCAACCATTATCAGGTATTGACCGTTCTCTGACAATTCGATAGGATTTCCTCTCGTTACTGATAATGGACGAACTGTTAACATTGTCTGAACCGCCGCAATGAAGAAATTTTGAGATGACAATAAATACATACAAAATTAATGCAAAAGCTGCAAGTATAATGCATTGGTTATGAAAGCTTATGATTTCATTCTCAAAAATTGAATTTTAACACATGTTTCACCTTTTATTGACTATTTAAAATTTGTCCCTCAACAATGAACTTCAGACGTCAAATCTTGCAGCACACCTTTCAAAACCTTATTTGGTTTTTGTGAGGGACTCACGATACCACCCATCCGCTAACAAGGTTGTAAGTAGTTCCATTGCCAAATTCTAAAATTAAGCTTAACTTCTAAAATACATTTATTAATTGATTTGAATGAAAGTCAAATTAAGCTCATTCACAAAGCAATATTAATTCCGTATTATTTTGAAGGCTTAATGAAAAAAAACTTACACGGATTGATATCCATTCACATTTATACATTTATGAGTAACAACGAATCAAATATCGGATAAATGTTGCATACCCATAGTAAAGTACATTCCAACTTCTACCTCTGCATCACTGACCATCAATAATAAAATTTACGAAACCTTCAAATACAACTTATTTGATGGTTTTATATATTGTTAAAGCAAGAACTGAACGTCAAACATCAATATCGGTGAAATTTTACAAGGGCAAGTTGTTAGAAAATTGCGTGGAATTTAAAAATCATGTGACGCATATCACTTTAATGTTTCAAGCAATACAATCAAAAATAGTTCGAAGATGGCCTCTTTTCGTCCGGAGGTTACCACACTGGTTAGAACGTTGCACCACACAGCATAACACCCACTAATGTACAGTCCCTGATTTTTAATCTCCTACATACCTAACTCTGCTCGTCAGAAGGAGCTCGCAAATTGTAATCAGCCAAAAATAAATCCTATTCCACTTACAATGAAAAGGAGCAAATAAGATACCAAAACTATCAAACTTAATCTGAAAATCCTGGGACGCAACTTGTTTTCGAAAGACATGGTTAATATGTGCATATATGTGCATAATTTCTTGTTTTAAGAATACCATTATGCATTAAGGTCTTAACTTTTTAAATAAATGTTGAGAGTGTTGAAAAGCCATTACTGCCATCGAAAAGATAAACGAACTGCTAAATATCCTACTTTTCCAGAAAGTTAATGGAATATGAGGAAAGATCTCTTGAATAAGGTATTCAAGAGCGGTATGATTTCAGTTCTACACACCTGAGAAAGAATGACAAAGACCTAGCAGCAAACACAAAACCAAAAATTATGTAAGTATGCAGGAATAAGAAAATGACCGAGCGAGGATGCCTATTACTCCTGGGTAAACGAGAATAAGAATAGGGAATTTTTCAGAGACAACCAGGAGTTAGGTCATGATTTCCGACCCTGAGTTTTTCTGGATGAAGTTGATATAAAAGGGATTATATCTTTGTTTTCTGATCAGAAACATAACAAGAACCACCCACTCAAGAAAAAGTTTTAAGTGTCGAGAAGTTTCTGAAATTATCAGATTCAGATTAAGTGCTGTTTAAAACAACGTTAAACATTAAAAATAGGAATAGCGATTCAAATTCTTAAATCATCTAACACAAAGCAATTTAATTATACATACGCTAAGCAACAAGAAAGATTTCACTGTGAATGGTAAAATGCCGAGCAATATAAAGGAATGAAATACTGATGACAGGTGAGTGAAAGAAATAACTTGACTTATTTCTAGCTGGTTGTTTATGTTTAACTTCCAATCTGAACTGATCCACTCCCTTTCAGCTTGATGCATCCCAATTCTAATCAACATATGAAGAGGGTGGTATAAAAATTACGAAAGGATAAAATAGAAATAGAGAAGGGATTGCCTTTGATTGTTACTACCAGTGATATACATATACTTCGTCTACGTAGTCGGCAAATGTTGACTAAACGTGAGAAGCCCAGCTGGCAACTTCTCCCCAACTCATGATGTAATAATTTCTTTATCATTATAAAATTGATTATCAAAACTGACACAGCAATTGCTAAAGGGACCAATGGGAAAACATCGGATGAACGAGAAAATCATTTCACGAACTTCATGATACTGCTTATTCCGATCAATAAAATCCTGCATCAACAGATCCTAGGATGCAACTGTTTAAGACTAGTTTCCCTAAACGCCAAGCTCTTCAAAAAAGACGCGTGAGTGTACCCGGATAAAAAAGGACACATCAAGAAGTGCTAAGAATTGTATGAAAGATGAGCAGCAACGGGACATGCAATGCTGACATAATGTTCAAGAGTAGAAAAACGACGAAGCAGCACTTTAACAGGTTTAGATCACGTGGACGTGATACTTCTCTTGCAGAAAATGCTGCAGTCCATTTCGGTAACGCCTGTTCTGCGATGTAACATATAATCCTCCTCAACAGAAATGTTACCACAATCTCTGTTATTTCATATTTAATTCTTTCAAGCGCAAAGAGTCTACCTTGGAACACTTCCCGAATCCCCGTTTTTAATCGCAACAAACAAGCTTGCAAATGAAATAGAACGGAATAACACCACGGAAGATGACAGATGCACTCCCCGCCCTGCCCGATGACCAGTTGTAACAAAGCATTGGGCGGGGATGGGCCACAATTCGTGCTGGGCGTGGCCTTCACGTCGTGATCTGCATGTTCACTTAGAGGGCGCTAAATCAAAAATTTTTGTTGGAATGGCTGCGTCGCGTGTTATGCGTTGCGGTTTCTTGTTTTTTGATGATATGTGGCAACTTGAATAGAGGAGGGATTCCGGTTCGGTTTGATAGGTTTCTTTTACTGCATGTTTCCCGTAATTTCAAGTTAATCTCTGTACTATGCATTAGTTTAATTCTTCAACCGTTCTTACTGTAGTTAGTTTTATTTCTCAAGCATATTTTTATGTATTTATTCCTGTGCAAAGTATGGTAATTGAGACTTTTCCAAATGGTCACATGCTGAAGATAGCAGTAAGTGTATCTTCATGTATGCTATTTCGAGCATATGATCGTGTTATTAACACCATCCGTATTAGATGAGGAAAGGATTGGAGGATGTATCTGGCGAAGTTTGTTCTCCACTTACCTCTAACTTCATTGCTTTTTTTTGTTGATAATCCTTATTGTACCTTCATTTTGAACTGTAAATTTGAATTTCTTTCATAATTTGAAAAGATTCAAATCAGTCATTGATCTCTATCTGTTTAATGGATAGATTAAATAGTTGGTACGCATTTGTTCCAAACGATTTGTCTGGCATGCAAACATGTCTTCGTAACTTCATTAAATGATGGATTGTTCCTGAAGGTTCTTTCTCTGAAGATTTGTGCTGATGAGTAACCATTACGTAGTGATGGGAATTGTGAAATAGGCGGATAGTTTTCAAGTTAGGTATTATCCATACATACATGACTAATGATTTAATAAATATTATGTTATTTATGGCGGCATTTGTTTTTTCAAGATTCTTTTCGTCGTTCGAATGAGAGGCTATGCAAGTTGTATTTTTTATTGGGTGTATGGATTTATTCGCATTTATGGTCCATATCATTCGGTCATGAGGCTGTATTTTTAGCGAGTTGACAGACTATTACCGCTAAGTCTACTTGTCTTTGAAATGATAGTATGAATTCGTGGTTGACAAGGAACCACATGAATTTATCCGGCATGAGGGTCTTTCACTAAATTATATTCAATTTTTATGGCAATGACGATATAATAAAGTTCGAGCTGCATAGGGATGCATAAATATTAACGGGCTGCGTTAATACCGAAAACGCGGCCCAGCCAATTTTTTTTCGTGGAGAAGCGGGTTCTCACTAGCTTCTAATTACTCTCTGTTTCTGTTTGTGTAAGGTTGATTTGTTTGATGACTGTTTGAACTTTTAGTGGAAAGGAATAGTGTTTTCGTCCTACCGTATGTGAAGTTCACGTAATTTGATTGAGAAATTGGGAGTGGAATTTTTTCCAGATTTTGGAGTGGGAGAATTCATCAACTGTCAGACAGTTTATTTACTAAGATGGAACGGAAAACGGGTGGTTGGCTTTCGTCGGTAGTTGGTAATATATCGGGCCTTTGGTCGCGCTCACCAACTGAATTCGCTGCCACATCGAGAGAAAATAATGATACGCGGAATTCCTCACGTAATAGCTCCTATGAAGAGCAAGCTGAAAGTGACGTTGGTGAGGAGAATGACGATATTATTGTCGAGACCGTATGTGCTGGACCATCCGTCACTGTACCAACTACTAGTAGGAGTCGTAAGCTTTTACTTTAGAATTATTACCGCTTTATATGTGGATGCATTTTTTGAAGTTCATCGTTCTTTGTAGCCGTATCGCAATGTCATTGTAATGATAGAATAACGCCACTCCTTTAAAAGTCCTCAAAATACTACTACTTGTTGAACTTGGAAACTTAATAAAATAGTAGAGTCATGGCTAGGGAATGTCGTTGAAATCTTCTTGAATGAAATATATACAAAAGTGCAAATACATCAGTTCCAAGCTCTAGAAATTTCTGTTGAAGAAATACGAAGTGAATGTAATTTATAGAAAGTGATGTTACATCAAAACGGAACGCTGTCCGTTATCTGAGCCCGTCGGCACTCTTAGCAGCCACACGATCTGTTACCACCTCGGTTGACAAGGAAACACTGACAAGTACCAATGTGAGGACTTTGCACATTTATTTTGTTTCACTTTTCTGTTTATGAGAGTACCCTGTGCAACAATATCTTTTAAACTTTTTTAAAATATTTTCTTGATGGTATAATTTCATTCGTTTTCTGGTCCAATAATATTACGACAAACTTAGTGGAGTTTCGCCTTATTTTTTGACTTCTACGTTATCTTTGCTAATGTCGTCTAGCTCGAATGTATTCTTGATTTCAGCGAAAACGTGCTGCAACAGGTTGCCTTTTTCAAGATGACGTGCGGTCGAATGCCAGAAATTCTCCTGCTACATCATCCATAATGGAACCTTTTTCCACTCGTTTTTCTACAAAACGTTCAAGAATCCAGCGGGATTTTACCGATGAGAGGGTTCATTTCTACATCTTTCTTTCGAAACTGAAGTATCTCATTATTATTTCGTCATGGGCGCTTCAAGTAGTGTATGCATGGTTCATCGTCTTGATTTTATCACTAAAATAAAGCATCATCTGATTGATCTGAAGTGCCACCTGACTTTACCACCTGAAATAAGGTAATAAAGCCCATACATCTTTTTTTACAGTCATTCCTTTCATTATCTTCGTTATCTGATGCACCAACTACTGGAAGACGTCATTTAAATCAGTCGTTCGCTTCGTCTTTCACACCGTTGAATTCGCTAGTAATGAAACCGAGAGTGTCACGTCCCTGCAGCAGCGTAGCTTCATCACTAAGCAGTAAAACAAGAGCTATTCTTGAGCAGTTAGAAAAAATTAGCTCCCCTGTTAAGGTAATTTTTTTTCAAATTTCGAAGGAATATGCCATGCATGAAATACTATGTGCACTAACTTTAACAGTATATCTAGACATAGGACAGCATATCATGTATCTAAAAACAGAGTAATATAATTTTTCTTCTCACTTCATAAATGTTTCGAGTTTAAATATCTGAAACGTTTTAACATTCCACAGGAAGTGAAACGATTATCATCTTTAAATATGGATGGGCCAGAACGTTGGGCGAGTGATACCATCAGCAGTGCGGTTCAAAAGCCACCACGAAATTCCATGTGCTCCTTATCACGTGCACAGTTGATATCCAACATCCTTGCCACTAAATCGACTTCACCATTCTGGTTAATAGTTCTATTTATTCAGTTTATAGTTTACAATCTTCTTTATTTGTGTATCTGAATGAATCGTTCAAGAATGGTTTTGATTTTTGTTCAATTTGTAGTTTTTAAGATCAGTTACAGCATACTGTTTTGACTAAGTGTAATAATATGTTCGTGTTTATCTGGTTTCAGTTTGGTCGAGTTGTTATTTAGTCGTTTAATGACACCAAAGTCTTAATCACATAAAGAAAAGATTAGGCATTGTCATTTTGCTCTAGGTATTTCAAGATTCTTTATACTCATGATACATTTATAAATCTATGTTATCTTCAATAGTAACACTTCTAGGAGTCGTCCAGCTCATTCGGCCAAGATGGTAGATTCTTCCATTACTTCATCGAATACTATTCACACTCATTCAACAGACATGGATCACGATCGTGAATCTGATAAAATGTTGACTACAAAGTCGTCCAATTTACCCTTGCCTAAGAAAGCTAATATGCTGAGTCCTTCAAGGAAGCAAGACCAAGAGTTTGATGATGATAATGTGGAGAAAACGACAGTGTCACCGAAAATTGCAGCATTACCCATGTCTACTTCTGTGATCAAAGCTACAACCGTATCACCGCAACGTTCTTCATCAGCAAAATCGACTAATGTGTTCAGTGCTAGGGATTTGGGTGTAGTGAGCCCAGTGAAGGAAATAGTGAGAAATGATAACGACAAATTGGTAAGGCAAAGTTACAAATTAGAACTTAAAAAATTTTGATCACTTATATTATGGCTAAAAGAAGTGGATGCCATGTTCTGGTTTGGAGATCTTTTTTCATGGACATTTGACTTTTTCTCAAAGATTGATACCAAACTAATTGCTTTTGTTAAAATTTAAAGTAATATATTTAACTTTCAGGCAAGTCCAGCGAAAATCGATGGTGCTATGTTTGCTTTCGCTCCACCAATGAAACGAGGACCTTCAGCAAGTTTTCATGGCGAAGAAATCCCAAAGGTTACATTTACGTGTTAGCAGCATTTAGCGGAACGTATTTGTCTTGTTATGGTGACAAATATGTAATAAAACCAAAGGAAATTCTCTCTTCTTTCCGTGGTATGATAAAAGGATTGCACGAACGCTAATTTCAGTTTACTTCAGGTTCCTCAGTCTGCCTCATCATTTGCTGAAACGGCGATTAAGGCTACAGCTGAAAAGTGTGTGGATGGTTTTTCATTCTCAGCAGAAGGTGTTTCGAAACAAATTGAAGGTCTTTGTTCAATTTCGACTTTTCTTGAAAGGAAATCAAATGAAATAAAATTTGCTGTGATGTTTTATCAGTCGTAATTTCCTCTACAATTCTGAAGAATTGTTTTACAGAACAGCCAAATACTGCAGATAAGGGTAAAGAGGCTGAATCAGTCACTGAAGTTTCTACAGTTGTCAAGGTATGCATGACATTGTTGATCCTATTCGAGGTTTTTGAATTTTTTGAAGAATTCTGGAAATATGATAAGCATCTCATACTTGCACCTTTCGTTTCAGCCTACGGATGCTGTCACAACAACGCCATATACGTTATCTGTGAAGCAGTCGTCACAGAAATCTACTGAACAGTGGTCATGCCCGAAATGTATGGTTTTCAATAAAGCGGATATTGGAAAATGCGTTTGCTGTGATTACGAAAACCATTTGTTGGAAGCTAAGGTTAGTTGTAAACCTTAGCTGTTAATTCAAGTTGCACAGAATTAAGTAGTGCGTATCCAGAAGCACTGCAATGATCATGATGTGAAGCGCATATTGTTAGTGGAAGAATGTATCCATAATTCATCTACTTTTTCATTTTCATATCCATTTTCACTTCCGTTTTTAAAACTGTTGCAGCCATGGACATGTAGCGAATGTTGGGTTTCTAATAAATCAACTGATGATAAATGCATCGCTTGCGGCAATCTTAAACAAAGCGACGGTGAAAATATGAAGCAAGCAGATATCAGTACTCAGAGCAGCTCATTTACCAACGTTTTTGGTGATCGTACTTTCAAACCTGTGCCGTCTTCTGGAAGTATCGTATTTTTCATATTTCTTGATTTTCCCACTTCCACAAATATATCGAGAAGTCTAAGGACAAGTTCCTGACAATTACGTAGAATGAACTTTTTGTGTTATTTACACATTATTTTTTCCACATATATTATGTTGCAGCTCTATGATTTTAAGGCGCAAAAACTGTAGAAATTATTTTTCGTTTAAATACCATCTTTGCCTTGTTTCCAAAGACTCTAATTTTAGGCATTTCATTCGGTTTTTCTGCTGCGAAACCCGTTACTGACGGCACCAATTTATCATCACTGATATCTGCTCCACCAACAACAAAAACACTAAATGCAGGCACTGTTGTTAATGGAAACGCTAATAATGAGGCCCCATTGAAATTTGGTTTATCATCGAGCACTTCGGCACCAAGTTTTGGCTTCGGAAAAGTTCCTGAAATAAGCCCTCTGCCAACAGTAACCGAAGGTTCGTGTGTCTGGATGTTTGGAAACACTTGAACTTTTTGTCCTTCACATGATCTAACTTTTATTATCTTCATAGAACGTTATTAAAATGTGTAGAAGGCAAATAATCCCTTAATTCTATAAAAGCTCTAGTTTTTATAGGACAGCCTTTGATGTTGTCGTCTCATCCGCCAAGTGCATCACTTACTTTTGGCGTTTCATCTAGTTCTTCTGTGACAACGGCCTCATTTAATCCTTCCTTGACTCGTTCATCACTTTCTTTCCCGACGTTAACTATGACAACATCAGCCGTCACGACCGTATCTCCATCCGAAAGCATCTTCAGCATTCCACTTTCAACAAATGTAAATCCTTTCACGTTTGGATCTTCTAGCACCACAACAGGTATGTTAACTAAAGTTTTTTGGAATATTTAAATTGTGAATATCGTTCACAGATTCATGAAAATTGCTCTATTTTCACTTATGAATCTCTCTTCAAAATTTAATGCAAAACTATTATTTAGTCGGGGAGATTAAAACATCGGCTGCACCGTTGTTTACCTTTGGTTCTTCTCCATTCCCTGCTGTTACATCCGGTACATCCGCTGTAGCCACTACAACTTCATTGCCATCATTTGGTACAGCTTTACCTGCATTTTCGACTCCCAAAGGTGACATTTTATTCTGTTATAATTTTTATAAGTTGAATGCAGTTTTATCGCATTAAAATTTATATTAAATGTGTAGTCGACAGCTCTAATTCACCTACAAATCTATGGGGAAAATCATATCTGGGTTATTCAAAATTCCGTTGTTATCTTAGTCTCTCGTGAATTTTTTAGCCTCTCTTTTTGGTACCAGTGGTGGATCAACATCGAGCCCAGGAGGAGGTCATGATGTTGTCGAAATGAGTTCACCTACAACCTCACCAGTTGTTCCGACAACCGTTGGATCCTTTGAGATATCCAAATCGTCAACTCCTTCTTTATTCAATTTTGGTGCTTCGAATGCTTTAAGCTCAACTTCCACTGGGTAAATTGATGCTTTATTGCATGACTCTGTCCTTTTCATTCTATAATTCGTTTCGGAAGAGAATTAGGAGGTACTGATTTTACAGTTAATGGTAGAGTGTAAGATTTAAGGGGATATTTAGCGCTTTTTCGAAATAACTATTGTTTAATGCAAAGTAAACTTCGGAATACTTGTCATCATTTTCAGCATCCGTAGTAACAGTAGAAGTATTCGAGAGATTGTATTTTGGATTTGCAAGCTAAGTATCATGGTCTGCTTTTTTCAGAACACTCTTCGGAAATTTGCAAACAACAGTGCAAAATCCGCTCGCTACTCCAAGCACATCATTGTTTTCATTTGGACAGCAACAAATGCCAGTCGCACCGAAGCCTTTTGAGCCACCAGCTTCATTGACTTCACCTCCGTCAACTTTCAGTTTCGGTGCTACAGCTTCGAACGGTACTGCAGGATTTGTTTTTGGTGCGACTTCGCCACCAGCAAATTTTGCATTTGGTGCACAACAACCATTAAATAGTTAGTTCTTTTTTCTGTGCTTGAAATCATGCTTCTAATACTTTTTGATTTTTATTACTTAGTTCTACGTTTCAGAAATTCCATTGTTAACATGTTTTTCAAACAGATTTGCCAATCCGATCACCATGCTATTATTCGAGAAAGGTTGCCTGTAATTTCATTCATCGATATGCCTATTTTTAGATACAGCTTCGACGACATTCAATTTTACTCCTGCAACACCTGCACCTCCTTTCGGGTAAGAATATTTTCAGTGAAAATACTCTTTAATCTGTTTGAATCGATTGAACTTAGAATTTCTAAAGAAATCGTGGTTTATTACCAAAGGGGAAACAGTGGTAATTGATACAGATTCTTTCAATCTACTGCCCGTTGCTGCTAGTTTCCTTTTGGCAGATCACGATTTTAAAAACCTTTTGCTTCCATGTGGCGTAAAAGTTGGCAGCGAAAAATTCGCAAAAGATAGTAGCAAAGTTCGTTTATGTTAAAAAGATTCGTTTTAAGTATGCTTCTCATTTCCAAAAAACTCCAGTTTTTTTTTTCCTTTTCAATAATTTTTCCACAGTTAATAAAAATTTACTTGAAGAAATGTTCCTGGAACATCAGCAGCACCAAATTTCTTCTCTGTGGGTTCATCATCGTCGACGACTGCTCGAAAGATGTTAAAAGCACGGCGAATGCGGAAATAACCATGAGTTCATCTTTCTGTTCTTATGAAAAAATATTGCCTCATTGCTTAGTTGTTATTGTACTAGTAAAAATTAGTTGGTTCACCTGATATTTTTGATGATGGCAGAATCTCTTGTGTTTTCTCTCTGATTTTTTATTATTTGGAATTATGGAGTAAATTTTTCTTCCCTAAGTATTTTTTGAAAGAACATGGATTGAAATAAATCACCTCACCTTAAATCCTAAGGTTCAGTTTTGGAGATTTTATGGACAATGCAAATAATATATGGTAGAAATAATTTTTCTTCTAATTATCTTGATTTTTTTGTCTGTTTGGAACTGTTTCATTCGTTGGCCTTGATTAGGACTCAGTGGGTTAGGTCCTAGAACTTGCTGATAGTCATTTTGCCTTCCTCATTTGGTAGATTTTTTTCAAATATATACGTTGTAATGATTATGCAGATGGTGTGATTTGAAACCTATCTTTTATCTGGATAGCGCCATGAATTAAAGTTTTGTAGAAATATTTACATATTTGCGGGATATTACCATACAAGTATGTTTAACATCAGTAAGACTTGTTCAGTGAATAATGGATGATCTTTGTGGTAACGTAAAGATGTTTCCAATAACTTCTGCGGCCAACGTTTATTTCCTGCTCAATGTGATTTGTATTACTGTTGTACCGTTATTGAATTGTGTCTCCGATATTGCTGGTTGATGTTTCTCAAGTTAAAATGTTTTGGAAACACTTGAAATCGGATATACAATTATAAATTTTTGATGCATCCTTCTGCTAAAATGGATGATTGGATGCTGTAATAGTAGTATTTCTGTTAAGGAACCTTTTTCTCGATTTATTCATGTTTGAAAACATCTTTAGATCTCGGGTATCAATTGTTGTTCATTGTATTGCGGTTATCTGGAACTGTATTTTCGAGAGTCATTCTTGGAAATGCTAGTTGTTTAAACGCTAAAATGTTATCCATGACGTATGTTGTATTCTGTCCCTTTTTCCTGGTCACTTGCTGAAATGTCAGTATAGTGTCCAATTCTCTTTCTAACTCATTTCAAAAATTATTACCTTTGTTGATTATCTTTAATTGTTTCGTTTTTCGTAATTTCAACTTTAGCGCGCCCTTTTTAAAATTCATATCGTAGAAGGATATAGAAGGATCCTGATGTTATTATATAGAAAAAACATTTTGAGAACCTTATAAATCATATAGTGTTCAGAAAGAACATGATCTGACTTAGTCATGATTTTTTTATTTTTTATTTTTTTTTTGGAATTTTCATGTATAAAATAAAATTTGTTCTGTTGCCTGATAAACTACTTTCTTTCCTTTTTGTTTAGCTGATATTCTTATATGCTTTGATCTTCTTAACCGAAGTAGAATGTATTGAGGTATTCCGTAAATTCCAGTTTATTTTGTATTTGTTTTATTTCGACATTATTTAAAGCGAATGTCCTCCAATAATATGACTTTTGATGTTTTGTTGACGTTCGTTGAATTTTTTACTCCGACTTGTTTTTTTTTTTTTTTTAAAGATAAACGGTATCTTGCAGTTCATCTTTTTTGAACAGTTTAATGTTTTTTTTTTTTTTTGTTTTTCTTCCTATTTTTGTTTGTCTTGTATGTATTTTGCTACGGAAACAATAATATCCTT